TGACCTTGGGGACAGTTGGGGACAGGAGTGCTCACAGGGTCTCCAGGGTCATGGTTCCTCCCATTTTTCCTCTAAGCCATGAGGCTTAGAGCTGCTGCTGGAGAAAGGATCCACTGTCCCCCCTGCCCTGCTTCCCTTTGTCCTCAGCACGGGGCAGCTCCCACCTGTGTCAGTGTGGGGTGAGGGATCCTCAGCTGGGCTGGGGAAGGAACCCAGGAGAGAGAGGACAACTTGCTGAGAGCTGCTCTGGGGAGGATTCTCCCTCCAGCCACCTGCCCTGGGGGCCTGTGGGACCAGTCAATGCAGCTGGGATGTGTTGGTGTTTCCTGGCAGGACAGTGAGGGTCACTGTGATTCTGGGAGCCCACGACATAACCTGCCCAGAGTGGAGCCAGCAGAAGATCCGTGTTGGACAATGGGTCATCCATCCCGAATATTCCCCTGATGACTTCAAAAATGACATTGTGCTGCTGAAGGTATGGCCCAACTCATCCTTCCTGCCTGAGGGATCTCCCCCTGCTCACCTCCCCAAACTCTGAACTCGCTCCTAGTCCTTTGCTGGCTCTAACCCCGTGTTCTCTCTGCCTGACAGCTGAAGCCAAGGGCCAGGATCAACCAGAATGTGCAATTTATCTCCATTCCCAGGAGAAATGAACATGTGAGACCAGGAACTTTATGCAGGGTGTCTGGCTGGGGCTTGACATCTCCCAAAGGGAACAGGAGTAATGTGTTGAGGGAGGTGAAACTGAAGGTGCAAAAGGAGAAAATATGTCAGCAGCGTTCCAGTAAATATCAGCGTCAGTCCATGATCTGTGTTGGTAATAAAAACAGTAAAAAGGCATCTTACCAGGTAAGTGTTGTTTTGGGCTGCAAGCCTGGGAGGAGGTTGGGACTGGACAGTCAGCTTGGTTCTCAGGTGCAAATAAAAGGACATCAGAACAAGCCAGGCCCTTCAGAATGATGACCTGAGGGTCCTCACAGAAGCTCTGAGGCTGATGTGCTCCCTGAATTGGGGTGTATTTTCCAACTATCAGCAACGTTTGCTTTTTTACTTACTTGTGGATGTTCCACCCAGTCTAGCCAGTGCTTTGCTGTGTAAATTCCTTGTGATATCCTTGCTAGGATGGCTTAGATGTTTCCCCATGTCTGAAGTAGGTCCATGTTCTTTTTGAGCTTTTGAATCCCAAAGAGCTTCCAGGCCTGAATTGTTTCATGGTTGGGCTTAGAGGAGCAGTGAGGCAGCTGCAAACCCTGAGAGCTGGGTCTGGAGGGAGGGAGGTGCTTGGAAGAGGAGGCTCTTCACATGGAGGGAGGGAAGAGGAAACTTGCTCCTTAAGGCAGGGAGAGCTGAGCTGTGCCATGTCTGACCCCTCTCATTCCTTTCATGACACAGGGTGATTCTGGTGGCCCATTAGTCTGCAATAAGAAGGCTCATGGCATTGTTTCT